ATTCCTGATTCCTGCTCTTTGCCACAAAGAAGCAGATGCAAGGGCAAGTGCTGACCTCAGGAATCTGCAGGCCCAGAAGGGGAACTTACTCTCCAGGGCCTCCACAGTAGCAGTAACACTGCTGCCGATTGGTCAGGTGTGCAGGATCCCACTCCAGAGTCTTGAGCTGATAGGGCAGCACCAGCTTCATGCTCAACATGGCCTTTGCATAGGGGCCTTTCTTGAGCGCACCACCTCTCTGCCAACAAGAGAACAGAGAGAGGGTGTGAGACAGGGCTGGACACAAATCAAACAGATCCATCCACAGGAGGACAGAAATGCGGGGCTTGAATCAGAGGGATGCACCTGTTGGGAGGAAGGGGACTCATGAGGGGACGGGAGTCAGAGAGACTAACCTGTTGGGGGGGGAGCGGGAGCTGGGGGGGGGGAAACACTTGCTGTGTGGGGGATAATGGGAATCAGGACACCCCACCCCCTTTTTATCAAAGGCATCACTGAGGACATGAGGGGATGATGTCTGGCCTCCCACAGCTGCCAGCCCCATGCTCACCTTGGTGGCCACAGCGAAGACACACTGCCGGCACATCCATGCACCAAGAACCCCAGCCCCATCGCTGCTCGCATCCAGCACTCTGGGCAGATGGCACTCCTGGTGGTAGGCTGCAAGGGGAGAGAGCTGGTGAGAGAGGAGAAAGGGGGTCCCAAGATGGCCAGAGGATGGCAGAGGAGAGGAGCACCACTTACTGTGCCCACATTTCTCACACCGAACCAACTGGTTCTCTGGGCTCACGGACTCCGAGTAACACACGCAGCAGATCTGCTCCTCACCGGGCACAGCGGCTGTGGGAGAGAATGGAACCGGCTCAATTAATGCCTTGCTGGGGGCAACCCAAGTCTGGGATAGCAGGGGGCTGCAGGTCAGGACTGAGGGGCACCAACAGAGCTGTGCATATGGAGAGAGCATAGGGCTGGGATAGCAGGGTCTGTTGGGCTGTGAGTGAGGGGCGCTGGCAAAACTGTGGGTGGGAAGCCCAGGCCTAGGACAGAAGGAGGCTGTGAATCAGGATTGAGGAGCTGTGTGTGGAGGGAGCCCAGGGCTGGGGTAGTAAGGGGAGGGGCAGTGGGTTGGGAATAAGGGGCATCAGCAGACCTGAGAAGGCTGTGGGTCAAGACTATGGGGCACTGGCAGAGCTGTGCGGGGTGGGAGCCATGGGACTGTGAGCTTGGAGTGAGTGGTGTGGCGGCGGAGCTGGGGCTGCGGGCTGAGAGTGAGACTACATCAGGACTCCAGTGCTCACCAGGGTTAATGTCCTTCCAGAGCACCAGGAACTGGGAATTGTCCTCAAATTGCACCAGGCAAACCTGCCGTGAAGCATCCACCTGCCAGAGGAGAGAGGGGTGAGTGAGTGCAAGGACAGTCAGTGGAGGGGCCCTGCTGTGTGTGTGAGGGCTTCACTCACCTTCTTGATGGTACCCAGATAGAGCAGGCCATCGGTCCAGCGGGCCAGCACATCTTGCCCCTCCCAGAAGCGGGGCCGGCTGGGAGCCACAGCAGGGGCCGGGGCAGCCGGACGTTTCCAGGGGCCGGAGGTCAGGCGGGAGCTCGTGCGTGTCACCCGGGAAGTCTGAGCAGGTAGCTCGCTCGCCATCACATTGTGACCAATCTGCCATGTGAGGGGAGAGGGTCAGTCACCTGCCAGAGCTCAGGCCAGAACCCAGGATTCTTCATTCCCAGCAACTGCATTCACTCCTGTGGGGTTCCTTTACATAGCAAGGGGGCATATTCTGTGTGAGAGGAGGGTCATAGATCTGGGGAGCTATCCTTGGACTTGGGGTACCATTTATTAGGGGGTCTCCCAGATTGAGGAGTGTCTCAGAACCAGGGGTCATTTCTTGGAGGGAGATCAGAACTAGGGAGGGATTCTCTAGGGGTATCTCAGACCTAAGGGACCTGATCTGGGGTGTCCCAAATTCAGGGGGCCCTCTCTGTGGTGTCTCAGATCTGGTGGACCCAACACTGTGGTGTCTGGGATCCTGGGCTGTCCTCTCTGGGAGGGTCTGGGATCTGGGGATGTGTCAGATTTAGGGGACCTGCTCTGGGATCTGACAGTTTCTCAGCTCTGAGGAGCCCGGTCTTAGGGGTCTGAAATTCAGGGGGTCCACACTGAAGTGTCTGGGATCCAGGAATATCTTGGAAGTGGGGGGCCACTTTCAGGGGGTCTGAGATCCATGGGTGTCTTGGATTTGGGGTATCCACTCTGGGGGATCTAGAATCTGAGAGTGTCCCAGATTCAGGAGACCCTCTCTGGCGATGTCCGGGAGCTGGGGGTGTCTTTAATTTGGGGGGCCTCTTTGGGGAGTCTGGGGGTGTCCCAGGTTCAGGGATCACTGTCTTGGGGGTCTGGGATCTGAGGGTGTCTTGGATTTGGGAGGAGTCTCTCAGGAGGATCTGAAATTTGGGGTGTTCCAGATTTGGGGGGCCTCTCTGGGGGGATTCTGTGACCTTGGGGTGTCTTGGATTCAGGAGACCCTCTCTGAGAGGTCAAAAATCTTGGATGGGGGGGTCTCAGTGGGGGGCTTAGATTTGGGGAGACTCAGATATGGGGGCATCTGGGGGCCCTCTCAGGGATGGTTCTGGGGCAGTCTCTGATTCAGGGGGACCTGGGATCTGGGGGTGTCCTGGATTCAGGGCCCCTCTCTGGAGTGTCTCAGATTAGGGGGCCTTCTCTGAGGTGAGTCTGCAATCTGGAGGTGTCTCAGATTCAGGAGGGCCCTCTGGGGTGGGTCTGGGATCTGGTCTCGCTCAGACTGAGGAAGTCTCATTTGGGGGTGTCTCCTTTAGGGAGGATGGAGGAGCTCTCTGTAGCTGGGCAGCCCATCTCTCTGCCCTGCATGGGGGAGGGGTGCTCCCTCTCCCTCAGCCTCTCCTGCCCTTACCAGGTCTCCGAGTCTCCTGTGGGGGTGGGGGCCGGCTCTCTCCCCTCCCCAGTCTGGGGAGGGGGGGCGTCTCAGGGCTGAGGAGGCTGCCCGGGCCCTCAGGGGCTAAAGAGCAGGCCCCTCTGCGGCTCCATCCTAGAGCTGAGCCCAGTGACGCAGCAGCAGCAGCCGCCAGAGCGGGGAGGAACGAGGGGGGATGCGGAGAGACGCCGGGGGAGAGGACCCCCCTAACGCCCCCCTCCTGGCGCTGCCTGCAGAGCAGGCCCTCGGCACCCCCCTCAGGACCCCCCTTCCCCGGATCTGCACTGACAGTGGAGCACAGCACCAGACAGCTATGGTGGGGGAATCCTCCACCTCTTACGATCCCATTCCTTGCGCCAGCCAGGTGGGATCACGTCCAGCTCCACCTAGAGGGGCCAGGCCCTGGAACCCTTTCCCAGCGCCCTGAGCCAGCCAGCCCCCACCCTGGGCCAGAGCGGAAATGACGCCCCCTCGAGGGGAAAGGCCCAATGTCTCCTGCAACCAGAGCTGGGGTCACTCCTGTCTCCTTCCCGCCCCACTGCCCCCTCCAATGATCCCATTCTGCCCCCCTCCATAACTTTGTGCACCCTCTTCCCTGCCCTGTCACCCCCTAAAGCCACCCTCTGCCCCGCTCTGCTGTTAGGCAGCTGGGGGGCAGTTCTTTCCCTTCTCCAGGCCCCTTCCCTCCTGGATCCACCCTCTCCTCTGTCACTCCTGCCCCCCAGCCCCTGCCCCACCCTCTACTTCTTCCCTTCTGCCCCCTCCACATTACTCTCCAATGCCCCTTGCTCCTCCCTCTCCCTACCCTGTCAGCCCTACTCCTGCCCCTCCCCTCCCCTCCCTTCAACTGCCTCTTTCAGCCCTACTCCTGCCCCTCCTCTTCTCCTCTCACCCTTATCATCCCAACTCCTGCCCCTCCCCCACTGCCTGTCACCCCCTACTCCTACCTCTCTCCCCCTACTCCTGCCCCTCCCCTTCTTCTCCCACCCTGTCATCCCTACTCCTACCCCTCCCCCATTGCCCCTCTCATCCCTACTCCTGCCCCTCCCCTCAACTACTCCTTTCACCTCTACTCCTGCCCCTTCCGCACTGCCCATCACACCTACTCCTGCCCCTCCCCTTCTCCCCCCACCCTGTCATCACTAGTCCTGCCCCTCCCCCATTGCACATCACCCCTACTCCTGCCCCGACTGCTGTCCCTCCCCCACTGCCTCTGTCTCCCCTACTCCTGCTCCTCCTCCCACCCTGTCAGCCCTTCTCCTGCCCCTCCCCCACTGCCGCTGCTGTCACCCCTACTCCTGCCCCTCCCCTTCTCCTCTCACCCTGGTCATCCCTACTCCTGCCCCTCCCCCACTGCCTGTCACCCCTACTCCTGCTCCTACCTCTCTCCCCCTACTCCTGCCCCTCCCCTTCTCCTCCCACCCTGTCATCCCTACTCCTACCCCTCCCCCATTGCCCCTCTCATCCCTACTCCTGCCCCTCCCCTCAACTACTCCTTTCACCTCTACTCCTGCCCCTCCCGCACTGCCCATCACACCTACTCCTGCCCCTCCCCTTCTCCCCCCACCCTGTCATCACTAGTCCTGCCCCTCCCCCGTTGCACATCACCCCTACTCCTGCCCCGACTGCCATCCCTCCCCCACTGCCCGTCACCCCTACTCCTGTCCCTCCCCTCAACTACCCTGTCACCCAGACTCCTGCCCCGCCCCCACTGCCCCTGTCACCCAGACTCCTGCCACGCCCCTTCTCCCGCCTCGGCCCAAGGCCCGAAACCCTGCTCCTCCCTCTCTTCTAGCCCCGCCTCCAGGCTGCCGTTGGCCGTTTGGCGCGTGCCTTGTACTAGCCTCCGTCCTTGCAGAAGCGCGGCCACAGCGACAGCTCCGCTGGGTCACGTGCGGGTGTTGGTAAGAGGAGGCCGCCGATTGGTCGGGGCTCGGGAGGAGCCGGCCAATCGAGGAGGTGAAAGCGGTGGATTGGTTGGATTTCGAAGAGGACGGGGCCGTCGGGAAGCGGCCAGCCAATTAGCTGAGAGCGAGACAGCCAACGGGCGGTGGCTCAGTGGGGGCGGTTTGAATTCGAACGACGCAGGGCGTCGGAAGAGGTTGAGAAGAGTTAAACTAGCGCAGCCGAGGCGATCGCTGGTGAGGGGCGCGCGGGACCGGACTGTCCCCCTCCCCGGTGGGGTGGCGGCGGCGGCGGCGCCGCGCGCGAGCTGGACTCCCCGGGCGGAGGGAGAGAGGTCAGGTCGGGTTGTTTCTAAAGCACCGCGGGTTGAGCAGTGGAGGGGCAGAGGCAGAGCCTTGCGATGCAGATGGGCGGGGCGGGCCGGGGAAGTTCCTGTTTCCCCTCCCCCCCACCTCTGGCATTCACTTGCCTATCTCCCCTTCTCCCCACAGGTTCACTTCAGAGCCCAGAACGCCAGCTGCTCCGCCCAGGCCAGCGAGAGTGCTGCAGTGGTGAGTGTGACTTGGGGGGAATGACCAGGGCACAGGTGCTGAATCTGCTCCCATTGGCTTGGGACTCCCTGTGTGGAAGGAGTTTGCTTGGTCTCCACTTATGGGCACCAACCAGGTCCTGCCCCTCCAGAGGGTCTCACCATGCGATGGGGTGTGCATGGGGGGAAGCTCACCGTGCTCTGGGCGCACACACAGGCATTGGGGTGTCTGTATAACACATGACTGATCAAGCCCCCTTGCTCCTTCCCAGAGGTCCCAATATGGAGCAGAAGGGGAATGCTGATGGACGGCAGGTGCTGCTTGCAGGGAAGGCCCTTTCCCAGCTGCCTGTGCCTGGCTTGAGGGCCAAGCGAGGGCACAGTGATGAGAATCAGCCTCCAACCGAACAGGTGAGATGCAGCAGGCAGATGTGAAAGGTGGTTTCTTGACCCACTTCATTTTCCTGTTCTCCAGGGCTCTGCTCCCAAAAACTGTCTCCTCTCTTCCCCTCCCACTAGAAACGTGCCCGAAGGCTCCCTGTACCAACCAGGAGGGTGGCAGCCTCCATCGCCACCACTTGTTCCAAGGCTTCGGCAGCAGCTGCAATACCCAGGACTCAAAGAGCAGGTGAGCTCTGGGGAAGGGTGTGTGCTAGGGAATGTGGGGTATGTTTGCCTGCAGGATGCAGGGACCTTTGTGTTCATGAGACCAGGGAGCTGGCACAAGCGGTCAGATGTTCCACTGCTAATGATGATGCTTCATGTCCACCACAGGCCACCGGGCTTCCCTCCGACCAGGACTGACCATCCCAGCAGCCTCAGTCGCAGGTATTTGTGGGACTGAGGCTTTCACTCTGAGGGGGAGGATCCTTGTGACTTTGTGCCACTTGCCAAACCCAGCACTGTCATCCAGAGTTCTGTGGGACCCAGTGCTGGGAAGACTGTTGGTGGGTGGTACTTACTAGAGAGCTGAGCAGCCTTTGCTGGCTGGAAGTCCCAGGCCTCCTCTCCCTTTGGGCCCTCTCCATGGGGAGCTGTGAGCCTTGCGCTCAGCTCAACTGCGTTTCTCTGTCAAATACAATACTCCTGAATGCCACAGTTGATTGGTTCCAAGATTTGGGGGAATGTTTGAGGCAACAGTGGCCAGAACCCTAGTGACTTTGGATGATACCAGAAAACTGAAAGCTGGGGGGATGGGGGATGTAGGGCCCATGGAGTCCCTGCCATTGTTTTGACACAGCCATATCCTCTAGCACCTCTGGAATTGCCTACAGATCAAACTGCTGGTTGTTGGTGTGACCCGTGGTGCCCAGGGCAGCCCTTGTTGGAAATGCCAAGGTCAGGGCAGGCTGCAAAAGGGAGAGCAGATACTCCCAAAACTGGTGTGTAACACTGAAGTTAAACTCCCCAACCAGTCACAAACTGTGCTTTTGATCCCCTCCCCCTCCACACTGGTAATGAAGAAGCAAAAAAAGAAGTCACTCAGTCCCCTTTATTGCATTCCAGTTCTCTGGCTCCCAATTAGCACCTAGGTCTAGTACAGTGAGAAGTTATATATGCTCACATACACAAAATGTTTTTCTGACCCCAAAGGGTCAGCCATGTCACCAGGTCATTATGGGTTTGGATCTTAACCAAAATACCACACTGTCAGCCAATCCTTTAGTGCCTAAAATTAAAGGTTTATTAAAACAAAAAAAGAACAAGAAGAGAGATGGTAAAGCAGTCACATATGTACAAAGACTTTAAAGTCCATATATCAGGTTCCTAGCAGTAATGAAAAAAGGAGTACTTGTGGCACCTTAGAGACTAACAAATTTATTTGAGCATAAGCTTTTGTGAGCTACAGCTCACTTCATCGGATGCATTCAGTGGAAAGTACAGTGGGGAGATATATATACATAGAGAACATGAAACAATGGGTGTTACCATACACACTGTAACGAGAGTGATCATGGTAACACCCATTGTTTCATGTTCTCTATGTATATATATCTCCCCACTGTACTTTCCACTGAATGCATCCGATGAAGTGAGCTGTAGCTCACGAAAGCTTATGCTCAAATAAATTTGTTAGTCTCTAAGGTGCCACAAGTACTCCTTTTTCTTTTTGCAAATACAGACTAACACGGCTGTTACTCTGAAACCTAGCAGTAATGGTGAGTTTGCTGGCTTGAAAGTCCTTCTGGAATACATCCTCAGCTTGGACGGGTCATTCAGTCCTTTGTTCAGAGCTTCAGTTTGTGGCAAAGTTCCTCCAGAAGTAAAAAGCAGGATTGAAGACCAAAATGGAGAAGATGTAGCTGCCTTTTATAGTATTTTTCCATGTGGCCTGTGCTTCCATTGTTTCAAACACAAGCTGCCCAACACATGGCTTGGAAGCCTTTTCTGTCCATGGGCATGCCTATGTATGCCTTGGTGAGTTGGAAGGAATATCCTCTGCCTTCTCTCAATGGGTCAGTTGTATAGCAGATGGTCCTTAATGGGCTATCAGACCGATTCCAAACTGTCTGGGGGTGTCACCCAGAAGCATAGCCCAAGTTTAAAATACAGACATACATATCTATAACTCATAATACAAAAGGTGATACGAACATATGATTTGCCCGAGATGATGATGATGATGATATTTTTTGCAGATATCTTACATGGCATATCTGGCATAACTCATTGCAATTTTATACTATTGGTATTCATAATATCCTAAAGTGTCCCCCAGATTCCATACAGTGTCACAGTGAGCACCCATGAAACCCTTCCAGCATACTGATACCCCAGCTCATCTCTGTTCCTCCTTCCAATAACTTACACCCTGAGCATCTCCCAGATGGACAGAAGACAAATAATAGAGGTGTTTGACAATGAAGTGGGCATTTTCTGTGATATTTTTGATTCCTCTGTATGCCTTGGTTTCCCATTGTACTTTGCACTGCTATTCGGTGGGTATAAAAGGATTAGAAAGATGCTCTTGGGGGAAAAGGAGATGTGAGGTATTGCCACGTGATTGTCTGGGGTGGAATGAATGGGTCCTTAAAGGACTGGTTTAAACCCAATCCATATCAATGGTGGATGCGCCAAGACAATGGGAGCCCCAAGAACTGAACAATTGATACTTATCCACAGGAATCTCCAGCAGGTGGAACATGTGATCTCAGGATGGGTCGATGTCTTGGGGATAAGAATTGGCTGTTGGAAGAAACGGTGCAGCTCTCACCTGGGACAAGGGACAGGGACAGCCACGTTGGCTTTAATGATAGCATGGCTCTAGGGTGCCCTGGCCTGGCGGTAGCCAGGTTGAACTCTCTTAGTATAAAGGCTAATGGAAGGATTTACAGATTATGTGGGGCGGTTGACTAATACATTACCTCATTTTGGTAAGGCTGCCTGGTGTGCACCCTGAAGGGGTATAGTACAAGTCTCCCATGGGAGTCTGGCTTGGCTGGTTTCGCTATAGTGAGCCACAAAAGCCCAGACCTGGTCTATGCTAGCAAATTAGGTTGGTATAACTACATTGCTCAAAGGTGTGAAAAATCCACACCCCAGAGCGATGCAGTAAAACTGACCTAACGCCCCGGTGTAGACAGTGCTCAGTCGATGGGAGAATTCTCCTGTTGACATAGCTACCGCCTCTCAGCGTGGTGGTGTACCTACAGCATTGGGAGAACCTCTCCTGTCACTGAAGCACTACGGGGTGCAGCTGCAGCATTTTAAGTGTAGACAAGTCCACTGTTTTGGATTCTTGGAGGCCATGGCCTGTCCCTGTAGAAGAGTGTGTGGGTCCTTGGGGTCTAGCACACTAAAGGGGTTACTCCAAAGGGACTGGTTACAGGCTGGAGTATAGACCAGACCTGTGGCTGTCTGACAGGTGGTGGCAGAGAATCAGATACTGAATGGTTTCAGTGACTAAATTGTCAATTTGCCAAGTGCCATGTTCTGTCCTTGGGGCTCCCATTGTTTTGGTGCATCCTCCATTGATGTGGGTCAGTTCCAGCCGGTCCTTTAACACCCATCTGTTCCACACTAGCCAGTTACACGACACAACGCCTCCCATCTCCTGCTCTGCCCCAAGAGCAGCTCTTGAATTATTTTGCACCTGCTGGCTAGCAATGTAAAGTACAGAGGTAAACTGAGGCACATAAAAATATTACATTTTGTCATGGGGTGCACACAGCTCCTGGCATGGGGAGAGAGGGGATTGGGGACACCCACAGAGTTATTGCAATGGAGGAGGAATGGGCAAACACCCCCTGCCATGGGGATGAGAATGGGTGGGACTCCAAAATGGGGGAGACACAACCCCTTGTGATATAGTGGAAAGGGAGCACACACAAGCCTGTGAGTTGCATGGAGTTCCGAAAAGGAGGATGAGAGGTAGTACACAGGGAGCTTAGGAGGGTGAACAGAAAGTTGCAAGGACCCCTGGGGCGTACTGGACCTCAGCCTACAAGAGCTATGAAATGTGGACCCCCTAGTTTACAAAAATGTTCAGAGTGTCCTGTTTCCTTGCACAGTGCGCTTACAAACAGCAAACATTTTCCTTGCTCAGAGTTTCCAAGTCTGCCCCTTCTGTCAGCTCTGTTTCCTCTCATAGCTACTCACAACTGCGTGATCCCATGATTTGCTGTGAAGGAGTGGGAATTATTCATAATATTTTGGATGAATATTGTGTTTGCTTCAGTTTCCCCTATGTGGTGTGTAGTTAACTAGGTCAGGGGGGTGGGGGAGGAGGAAAGATTGTTTACCCTTTGCAGCAACCCAGAGATACAGGCGGGACCAATGCCCAGCTGGTTGGGGCCCCATGCCCATGTCGATTCTCAGAAGACAATGGCCACTCCAATTATTGGCACCTAGCAATAAACAACCATGGATGGCCCACCCTCCTTAGGAAGCCAGCTGGGTATGACCAGCTCGGGGACAAAGGACTAGGGAGCAGGCAGGTGGGGTTATGTGTGGGCCCCTGGAGGCAGGAAAGAAGTTTCTGGTCAGGGATTAAAGAGGAGTTAGAGGGCTCTGGACCGACCCAGATCCACCTGACAAACTTTCCGTTGTCTGTGTTATCTAAGGATGTGCTATGCTGTGTTCCAGACATCTAATAAACCTTTCTGCTTTTACACTGCTGGCTGAGAGTCACCTAAGATCAAGGGAGCTGGGGGTGCAAGTCTTCCCCGGGTTCCAACTCAGGTGGAGTCACTATAGGGCACTCACAGTGTGAAGGAGGGGTGCTGAAGGCTCTGAGGTTTGGGTCCAGGAGGCAAGGAAGCCAAGAGGCCTACACTAGTGAGTGAGAGACCCTAAGGGGGCTGACACACTGAAGGAATTCTTCCAGGAACTGTTCAAGAGCAAGGACCTGGAGCTCCATGACACGTGCTCTCCCCTTTCCCTCTGCAGACATCGTCAGGAGGCCGGTGCCTGTGGCAGCAGTTCCAAAGATGGGTAAGGCGGCAGCAGGAGCGGCTTGATGTCAAGAAGGGGTGAAGCCAGGGATGGGGAGAGGGATAGCCCTGCTGGCTCCAGCCTCACCTGCCTCCCCCTTTCTCCCCACAGCAGCCCCTGCCCTAGCTGCAGGGAACGAAGGGAAGAAGCGGGCAGCCTGGGACCTGAAGGGCCAGTTGAGTGATATGCGGACCAAGGTGAGCAGCTACAAGGACAAGGTGCAGAGACTGGATGGGGAGAACCAGCAACTCAAGAGGCAGCTGCAGGAGCAGGTGGTTCAGAACCAGGAACTGAGCAGCCAGGTCAGGTGAGAAGCCAGAGGACTGAGGGGGAGGGATCCTAATCATTCTGGTTGGGGGGGAATGACTCCTGCCCTATCTCACCATGCCCCTACTTCTGCAGCACACTGAGCTCTGCGCTGCACACTTGCCAGGAGCAGGCACAGCAGAGGCTCCACAAGGTGATGGAGCTGTCAGACCTGAAGCAGCAACTGGAGGAGCAGGTCACCAGCCACAGCAGGACCATCAGGCAGCTGGAGGGGACCAAGCGGGACCTGTCATCCCTGCTGGAGACCAGAGAGGTAGGTCTGATCCTGGGAAGGGGGGAGATGTGATGTTAACCTCCCCCACTGGAGCCAGAGCCAGGCCAATCCAGGTTGTGTGGCTAGGGCCGGGAGAAAAGCTCAACTCTTGGTGCCTGTGCTAGGATCTCCTATAACATGCTGTACCCTCAACCTAGCTGTGCCCTGTCAGATTCCTGTCCAGTAGACAGGTTATGCACCCATTGGGTCATCTGCATGCTCTGCTCAGAGGGACCAGGCCTTATGCAGCAGCCGGTGCAGCTTCCATGCATGGGCTCAATCTGCACCTCCTAGACACAAGCTTTGTTTCCTATAGCAACAACTCAACCTTATGAAGGCTTTACATAGACCTGCTGGGACAACACTGCTTTGCTCCAGTCTCCTGGAAATTCCCTTATTGCCAGTGTCACAACCCCACCTTGCTTTCAGGACTTACTCTTGTGTCTGGCTGTTCTGCTTTAGTTATTGCCTTGCTGAGAGTGCTGCATCTCCATAAAGTGACTGCTGTCCTTGCAGGGTGTTTCAAAGGAACCTTTCCCCAGTGTTCAGGCACCCAACTCCCTTTTAAAATCCCGGCCCTAATGTTGGGCCTCTTTGATTCACTTGCACTGCAAACAAGCGCTGCTTTCTTCACCGTTGCATGCATTTCCCACAACAGCTTTTCTTGACCAGGTTATCAGCTACACTCCATGTCTAGCAAGTCTGTCAGTTAGCAGCTGGGAGTCACATGCGCTGGCTTGACCCATGGCGTGTGACATGGTCTGTTGTCTCTCCTGATGGGGGCCTGGGGCGTGTGTGTTGTGGTATCCCGAGAACTCGAAGCAAGTCTCTAGCAGTAACCCCGAGCTCCTGGTCCTGCTCCAGGTGAAGCTAAAGCTGGTGGAGGATGGCCTGGCCCAGAGGGAGTGTGAGAACAAGGAGCTGAGAGGCCAAGTGGCAGCCCAGCTGCAGGTCATGACCCAGCAGGAGGAGCGGCTGCACCATCTGGAGATGGAGAGGAGGAGGCTGCATAACCTGGTGCAGGAGCTCAAGGTGACAGGAAGCTCTCATTCTGCCCCACCTCAGGGAGGTGGAGGGAATTAGGGCAGGACACCATGCAGGAGGGCGGGGGTGGGGGCTGGAAGAAGATAAGATTGCGAGGGACAGCTGGTGGGAGCTGGGGACAACCTTCCCCACACTGGACTGACATGTCTCCTATCCCCAGGGTAACATCCGTGTGTTCTGCCGTGTGCGGCCCCTGCTGGCCTGGGAGGAGAGGCAGACGGGACTGGAACACCTGCACTTCCCCCTGCAGGACAACAAGGCCCTGGTGCTCTCCAAAGTGGAGGAGGTGAATCCAGGGGCTGGGGCACAGCTAGCCCTGTCTTTGTGATGGGCCATGGCTAGCCCTCTGGCTGTGCATTGGCTGATATTCAGGGCAGTCACTGTTTGGGCATGGCATTAGTGTGGTTAAGTTGGGGAATGCTGGTGCAATCTACAACTTGCACACTACATGGGCACTAGCTTTGGGCAATTCCCCCTGCAGAGATCCTAAGTCATCCACCTCAGCCCCAAGCCAAGGAGGGGCTGACTTTGCTTCTGATGTGCTGCTGCTTAAATGTAGGGCCCCTGTGCTTGGGGCCTTGAAAACCTTGCTGGCACCTCACAGCCCAGCTGGGCCTGCTGCCTCGAGAGCAGCCTTTTCACACGTCTAGGAGCTAGCATTTTTCTGAGCAACAGGCCATAGGTCTTTGCGCATGAACATCTGAAGGAGGGTGAATTATAGTGTAGATGGTGCACAGACATTTATGCATGAGACTCCCAGTGACAGAGAGTTCCTGCTGCAATGCCCTTGGGGCAGTGCTTCCCATGGCTAGTTCTTTCCCTGTTAACTACTTGCATCTTATCTGTAGCCTGAATTTGTCTGGCTTCAGCTCCCGGCCACTGGTTTCTCCTACTGCCTCTGTCTGCTAGCTTAGAGCCTTCTGCTCTCAAATATATCCATATATGTATGTGGAGACCATGATCAAGTCTCCTCTGAGCCTTCCCTTCAATAAACTGAATAGAGGGAGCTCCTTCAGTCTCTTACTGAGGCAGGTTTTCCAGCCTTCAAATCATGTAGCTTTTCTCTGAACCTTTCCCAGTTTGTCATTATCCTTTTTGAAGTGTGGCTGCCAGATCTGTACAGCGTGTCCAGTAACAGCCACAGATGCTGCATGGAGAGGCGATAAACCTCATTCCCCCCAACCCCCGCCCCAATTTTCTGGCAGCATGTTAGAAACCTGGGGCCACCTCTGAAGGGTTCGTTAATCTCAAAATCAGCCGAGCAACCAAGTAGTTCCATTATCACCCTGCACCCACCAGTGCTGAATCTCACCTGCTATTGAACCGCCCCTTCACCCTGCCTGGCTTGGACCCTCTGCAGGTCCTCACGACCACCTCTTCCCTCAAAGAACCCTCTGCAATCACTGCCCCTCATTACCACTCTGGGGACTTCCCATCAGAGGCAGCTGTCTATTCCCCCAGTCCAGGCCTGGGGTCCTGGGAATGAGTCCTATAGTCTGACCCACATGTCTGTCTCTCCCTCCACACAGTCCCACTTTGGGCGTGACCGCAAGGGTGATGTGAAATATGATTTCATCTTTGACCGGGTGTTCTCCCCTGCTTGCTCCCAGGAGGAGGTGTTTGAAGAGATTGCGCTGTTGGTGCAGGTACAGAGTGGGGCACAGGACTTGGGGGATTGGGAGTCTGGGGGTTACCCCCATAATGACCACTTCCTTCTCCCTCCCTGCAGTCCGCTCTGGATGGGTACAATGTATGCATCTTTGCCTATGGGCAGACAGGCAGTGGTAAGACCTATACCATGGAGGGGCCGGACGACATGAGCCCTGAGACTATGGGCATGATTCCTCGGGCTGTGCGGCAGGTCTTCCAGGGGGCACAGGAACTGGAGCCCAAGGGCTGGCAGGTGAGTGAGCATCCCACTCTGCCCTTCGTGACTGCCCCCAACCCTGTGGCTCTGGCAGCATACCTGGTCCCCCCACAATCTCATGGTTATGATGTTGTTTCTATCTCCGACACACACCCCAGTACCGTTTCACGGCAAACTTCCTGGAGATCTACAATGAGTCGCTGCGAGACCTGCTGGTGGGGCGGCCAGAGCGGGGCGCCGAACTGGAGATCAAGCGGGTCAGCCAGAGCAGTGAGGAGCTGCATGTTCCGAACCTCCGCTATGTGCCTGTGGACTCCGAGGATGAGGTGAGCTGAGACGTGGGTGTGCTGGAGCCAGCGGGTTTAGGAGTTGTATTGACCCCACCAACACACCCTGCATCCCCCAGGTGCTGAAGCTACTGCAAACAGCCAAGGCCAACCGCTCCGTGGCAAAGACGGCTCTGAATGACCGCTCCTCCCGCAGCCACAGCCTTTTCCAGCTGCGCATTGAGGGCTGGAACCGGAGCCGGGACCTTCACAGTGTCTGTGAGTGTGGCAGGTGGTGGCTGGGGCTGCCAGAGAATAACTGGAAGGCAGGACTGGGGGAGCATTGGTTGCTAGGACCACCTGTGGTGTGGTTGCCCTGCCATATGTGGGAGAGCTGGGTGAGGTGCCCTCTCCCAGGCCTGTCTCATATCCGTTCCCTCTCCCTTCCCTGAAGCGGTGCTAAGCCTGGTGGACCTGGCAGGCAGCGAGCGGCTGGACAAGTCCTTCTCGAAGGGGGAGCGGTTGAGGGAGACCCAAGCCATCAACACTAGCCTCTCTACGCTGGGACTGGTCATCATGGCGCTTTCCAACAAGGTAACCGCTAGGACACCCCATGCCCCATTATCACCAGTCTCTTCCCCTCTTTCCCCAGGGCCAGTGGTCATAGTGCTGTAAGCAATGTAACATACCACCTGCATGCACCTCACTGCCCCCTCCCTCTCCCCCAGCCCTTCCCTGCCTAGTATAGGGGAGACACAGTGAGGCTGGGGGCTGTCTGAGGTACATGGTATGGAATCTCCCTGCCCAGGGGTACCAACATGCCCCCTCCTCATAGACAGTGGGGAGCTGACTCCTGTCTTCCCACTCTGCAGGAGCCCCACATACCCTATAGGAACAGCAAGCTCACCTACCTGCTGCAGAACTCGCTGGGGGGCAACTCTAAGATGTGAGTAACAATGGGGGGGCAGTGGGAATAGTAGGAGTGTGGGGGAGGGATGAGGCAGAGATGTATGGAGAAGGATTTAGCATCAAGGTGGAGGGCAGGGCTATGAGGGACGTTGTATGGACAGGGTGTGGAGGGAGTCTAAGAGGAAGGGAATGTGCAGGGACACCAGGTGCTGGGGGTAGTGCCAGAAGAGGGCTTCTGCGGCTCCCCTAACCTCTGCTCCTCCCCTTTCCAATGCCCCCAGGCTGATGTTTGTGAACATCTCTCCGCTGGAGGAGAACTTGTCAGAGTCCCTGAACTCCCTGCGCTTTGCCAGCAAAGTAAGTGACTGACTGGTGTGCGGCTGAGGCAGATGGAAGGGGGTTACCATGCCGCAGCTTCCCACTCAACTCCATCTCTCTTCCTTCCAGGTGAACGAGTGTGTCATTGGAACAGCCCAGGCCAACAGGAAGTGAAGGGTGTCACCATCCCAGCTTGGCTGCACGGTGCAGCTGGAGCCCTGTGGGAGCAACGCTTTCTGCACCCCACCGGGGCTGTGGGGTGGCGTGTGTGGCTTATCTTGCGTCTTGTTTTTAATACTGGTATGGACTCAGCATGAGTGCTGGAAATAAAATGTCTTTTACAGCTGCTGGCTGCATGCACTTGTGGGGAAACCCAGCTGTCCAAGCTGCAAGATGGGTGCAGTGGGCTATCAGCTGGGCCTTGGCTGTATTGTTATCAGCCAGAACCAGGTCACTCTGGACATGGCCCTCCCTGTGTGAGGTCCTCTTTGCTGTTCATCCAGCTGCTCAATCTCCCCATTCCACTGCCAGCTTCTCCTGCCCCCGGCAGTTATGCCCCCCAGCTCCACTCAAGGGCAGGGCCGCTGCATGTCTGTGAGGGGAGGTCACAGCTGTTCGTTCGTCTTCAGGAGTGTAGGCTCGGTCCCGCTTTCCCCTGTGAGTTTCGGCAAGCACGACTGGGCTCTGCTGAGTATGCACCAGTGGCCGTTCCTGCTTCCGTACACAGCCATTAGTGGCTGCCATATTTTTGTACAGTTTACACGCGACTGGCGTGGACTGGAGAGCCCGAAATAGCTAGCACAGGATAGGGCAATAGGCCCGGTTGATGGTTGGAACAAAACTGCGCAGGCGTGAAAGGTACCCACCATAGGCTGCTGAGCGGGAGTGCCATCTTCTCTGGGAGAGTCTGAGCAGCACATGTGTAAACACAGCTGTCAGATGCCATCTTGTCACTTGGCTTTATTCAAGCCATGCGTGTGCTCTAAGCAGGCTTGGGCGGTGCTAGGAAAGGTTTGAGCCGTGTAAAGCTCCATGTTGTATGGCAGCTCATCCGGTCCAGTCCAGCCCCTCTCCCTAAATGGAACAATCGTCTCTACCTGACCCCCTGAGCAGTGCTGCCAACTCCACGTAGGAGGAAGTCCACCAGACTAACCTTGAGAAGTTGCTAGATATAGCTGTTTAAGCACTCAGAAGGAGTCAAAAATGTCTCTGAATAAAATTTCCAGAGAATGCAACAGAGAATTATACACACACAGTGTGCGTGCACGCCCAGGTGTGTGTAGTCACAAAATCATTCACAAGCAGCTCAACAGTGTTAATAAAATCCATTCCATGCTCTTCTTACTACATTCTGTTAGACACCAAGTCAATATTATCTCTCAACTGAGCATGTCCTCAGAAGGAATGGCATTCCAGGGCTGCTTGGGCTGAGATCACTATAATCTGCAGGTGATGGGAAAAAAAGCTTGTTTTAGCCAAATGTGTTCTTTCTTGCTGTTCTGTAGTAGGTAGCACACCCTGTAATGTAGGGAAAGATGGCTAATGAAGTGCAGGTTAGCCATCAAGGAGAGCTACATGAATGGAAGGTGGGGTGGGATGAGACAGGGCCATATGCCTCAATGGGGTGGGGGCGCCATGTCTCCAGGAATTAAGCCTTTATTAAAGGATCAAAGGTGGAGCTACCTTGATTGGCTCCCCTTTACTCCTTCCCCTGGCTTGGCCTGGGGTTAGCTCCCCAGCTGTTTTTAGAAATCAAACCCTGGAAGCTGGGGGAGATGCTGGGCTATGACCTGCTAAGTGTGTCTGACTGGTAGGAAGGACCCTCTGCTTTGGGGCTAATGAATATTGCTCTTTTAATCAGGTGTGTTGCATTGATAAAGCAGTGCCATGTTACGGCAATGCTGGGGTTTTTTTGTTTGTTTTTCTCGTGCTTTTAATGTCAACAATTTGAGCCAGAGGGGACTTGCAGGAGGAGGAGGAGGAGGATTTACATACCTTAGCTGTATGGACTTTGCTGTTTTGTCTATCTGTGAGTCCAATTTCCAGGGGCAGAACCCCTCCTGGCCCTAATTCAGTGTTCTCCCCCTTTCTGAGCCTACTCAGCAGAGGGCTTAAGGTTTGTATGTGAGCCAGGGGCTCTCTGCTCATTGGGAACAGCACTCTGCTCAGGTTGCTTAATTTCAGCCCAGCATGAGGGAACAGAACAGTCTAGTGCCCCCGATAGGTGGCTGGCACCGCACCCCCCCACCCCCCCAATACATGGAATGGAACAGTCTGGCCCTCTCCCTCAAGGGGCAACAGAGCAGCCCCAACCTTTCTCCCATGGGACGGGACAATCTCGCATGGGTCCCGCTGACTGGCAGAATGGGATTACGTAACATAAGAAAAACAAAGGCACTTTCTGTACAGGAAAATGGCTGCGCCCACTTATATCCTTAGATATTTTTAAGGTCAGGCTTGACAAAGCCCTGGCTGGGATGATTTAGTTGGGTATTGGTCCTGCTTTGAGCAGGGGGTTGGACTAGATGACCTCCTGAGGTCCCTTCCAACCCTGATATTCTATGATTCCCTTCTGGTAACGGGGGGGGGCGTACAAGAAGATGGCGGCGAGGACAGGAGCGTATCTTGTCCTGTTCGCTCATTGGCTTGGTGTAAGTGACACCCTTGTCGCGGCTCCAGACTCCGAGACAGTCCCTTGCTCTGATTGGGCTGCAGCTCCAGAATCTATCACTGTACGCAATCATGGCGGTGCCTGCTGGTGACAAAAGGCCAGTTCCGGTCTTGCACAGTCCAGGGAGGAGGGAAAATTGTGCTGGGCTTCGGAGAAGGACCGAGGAGACGTGTGAGCACTGGAGGTGGGGGCGGGGCCTGGGATGTCTGTGCGGGCCTGGAGTCGGGGAGTTTGGGAGACGGGGCGCTTGGGCTGTGGAGGATATGTGGGGTGGGGGAGGTAGATAGGGCCCTGGGGGAGTGGAGGATCTTGGGGGGGGGGGGAATAGGGGTGAGGGGAGGGGATTGGGGGAGGGGTTAATGGTAGGGTTGGAGTATGGTTTGGTTTGGGTTAGGGTTTAGGGGTGAAGGTGAGGTTTGGGGTAGGGTTCAGGTTTAGGGCAGTGGTCCCCAACCTTTCTTGTGGGGATAGCATATTGCTATTCCCTAAAGACTGTAGTGGGCATGTCATAAATATAAAGGGAAGGGTAAACACCTTTAAAATCCCTCCTGGCCAGAGGAAAAACATTTTCACCTGTAAAGGGTTAAGAAGCTAGGAGAACCTCGCTGGCACCTGACCACAATGACCAATGAGGAGACAAGATACTTTCAAAGCTGGAGGGGGGGAGAAACAAAGGGTCTGTGTCTGTCTGTGTGATGCTTTGGCTGGGGACAGAACAGGAATGGAGTTTTAGAACTTAGTAAGTAGTCTAGCTAGATATGCGTTAGATTCTGTTTTCTTTAAATGGCTAAGAAAATAAGCTGTGCTGAATGGAATGGATATTCCTGTTTTTGTGTCTTTTTGTAACTTAAGGTTTTGCCTAGAGGGATTCTCTATGTTTTGAATCTAATTACCCTGTAAGGTATTTACCATCCTGATTTTACAGAGGTGATTCTTTTTACTTTTTCTTCTATTAAAATTCTTTTAAGAAACTGAATGCTTTTTCATTGTTCTTAAGATCCAAGGGTTTGGGTCTGTGGTCACCTATGCAAATTAGTGAGGATTTTTATCAAACCTCCCCAGGAAAAAAGGAGTAAGATTTGGGAGGATTCTGGGGGGAAAGATGAACTCTTTCTCAGTAACCAGTGTTAGATGTTTGGTGGTGGCAGCAAAAGTCCAAGGGCAGAAGGTAAAATAGTTTGTACCTTGGGGAAGTTTTAACCTAAGCTGGTAAAAGTAAGCTTAGGAGGTTTTCATGCAGGTCCCCACATCTGTACCCTAGCATTCAGAGTGGGGAAGGAACCTTGACAGGGCGTCAGACACCCTGCCACCAGAAGCGGCAGCCACAAGATGTGTCACAATCAAAATGCCGCTGAGAAACGGCAATGCGTTGGGGACCCCGGTTTAGGGTTGGGGTTACGAGTTAGGGTGGGGTTCTTGTTGGGGTTTAGGGGTAGGGTTGTTAGGGTCAAGGGTTAGGGTTCGGTTTGGGGTTAGGGTGGGGGTAGGGTTGTGGGGGTAGGGTTAAGGGTTTAGGGTGGGTTAGGGGTTGGGGTTAGGGGCCGTTGAGGTTTAGGGTTAGGGGTCGGGTTTGGGGGTAGGGGTGAGGGTTATGGTTAAGGTTAAGAGTTAGGGTTGGTTAGGTTTGGGGTTAGGGGTAGGGTTACTGGTTAAGGGTTAGGGGCCTGTCAAGGTTCCTTCCCCACTCTGAACGCTAGGGTACAGATGTGGGGACCTGCATGAAAAACCTCCTAAGCTTATCTTTATCAGCTTAGGTCAAAACTTCCCCAAGGTACAAAATATTCCACCCTTTGTCCTTGGATTGGCCGCTATCACCACCAAACAAATACTGGTTACTGGGGAAGAGCTGTTTGGAAACGTCTTTCCCCCCAAAATACTTCCCAAAACCTTGCACCCCACTTCCTGGACAAGGTTTGGTAAAAAGCCTCACCAATTTGCCTAGGTGACTACAGACCCAGACCCTTGGATCTTAAGAACCATGAACAGTCCTCCCAACACTTGCACTACCCCCTTTCCTGGGAAATGTTGGATAAAAAGCTCACCAATTTGCATAGGTGACCACAGATCCAAACCCTTGGATCTGAGAACAATGAAAAAGCATTCAGTTTTCTTACAAGAAGACTTTTAATAGAAATAGAAGTAAAGAAAGGAAAGAAAGAAAGGTAAGCAGCAGGATACGGACCCTGGACTTCAGGAAAGCAGACTTCGACTCCCTCAGGGAACGGATGGCCAGGATCCCCTGGGGGACTAACTTGAAGGGGAAAGGAGTCCAGGAGAGCTGGCTGTATTTCAAGGAATCCCTGTTGAGGTTACAGGGACAAACCATCCCGATGAGTCGAAAGAATAGTAAATATGGCAGGCGACCAGCTTGGCTTAATGGTGAAATCCTAGCGGATCTTAAACATAAAAAAGAGGCTTACAAGAAGTGGAAGGTTGGACATATGACCAGGGAAGAGTATAAAAATACTGCTTGGGCATGTAGGAATGATATCAGGAGGGCCAAATCGCACCTAGAGCTGCAGCTAGCCAGAGATGTCAAGAGTAACAAGAAGGGTTTCTTCAGGTATGTTGGCAACAAGAAGAAAGCCAAGGAAAGAGTGGGCCCCTTACTGAATGAGGGAGGCAACCTAGTGACAGAGGATGTGGAAAAAGCTAATGTACTCAATGCTTTT